TAGTAGCATGAACCTTTGCACAGGTGATGTCCACAGGTGGATTTATGGTTTCCAAGAGTTTTTAGTCTACTTCATTATGGTTTTAAATAGTACTGTCTAATAAAAAAATATATTCAGACGGGAGGGAAAAAAAGTAAAAAATATATATGTTCCATCCTCAATATCTCTAGAACAACAGCAGTTGTTTTAATACATACACTTCTAATAGAAGCTCCCAAGTGTTAGCTTTATTTTGACACCAAGATTATTTAAGTAGAGTTTGTAACTGCTGAGATACRCTCAATTACATTTCAGCATGGTATTTCGAGTAAAAACATCAAGCAAACCCCTTGGGGCTTAAGAGGTTAAAATGTTCAGCATATTTGAAGCAGAGCGATGCATCGAGCGGACTGACTGGTGGCATTAATCGTATTAATCATCAAGTGCCAAAAAATAATCGATTGAAGTTTTTCCGATGATTAATAGCACACGATAAGATTTTGCCCAACCCTACCCAAAGTTTSTGACCMTATGAGGGTCAGGAATGTTAACTGACCAGTAAGTGGAGAGCTTCACCTTCCAGCTCAGTCTCCTCTTCACCACAATGGACCCTCACAGAGTCCACAATACTGCAGAGGCTGCAGTATTACAGTTCGTTGGCAAATAAAATCTTTTGGTTAAAAATGCAAGCTATGTAAAGACTTACCTTGGTTGATCAACTGAAGACAGAATGCCCTCTCTGGGTCAGGATGGAGTCTTTGCCTCAGGTGGAGGAGTTCAAGTATCTGGGCAGGAGTGAAGTTGGATGAAGCAAGAGATGGATGGATGRGTCTGAGCCTCGTCCTCAGTAATGTCACTGACCCTCTCCTATGGTCAGGAGATATGGATCAAGACTGAAATAATAAGATCCTGGTAACAAGAGGCCATAATAAGCTTCAGTGGTGACTGGGCTCAGCCTTAGAGATAGGATGAGGAGTTCAGTCATCCAGGGGAGCTGTGACTTCTTCCCATCAAAAGGAGTCAGTAAAGGTGATTTTGGCTCTGGTTAGGATGCCTCTTGGATATCTGGTGAATACAAATACATGTTTTGTTTTGTTTTTCTTCTTCCTGACACACCAATGCCCTCTAAAACCATGACAAAGCTGCTGGAAAGAGAAGCCCCCGGTGCAAACGTGCATCATTTTGTTCAAGAGTGCGGAAGCTTTAATCTTGTCGATGAAGGGCTAAGCCCCGAGTTTTAGACGCAGCGTCTTTTTGCCCAACTCATCGCCTCGCACGACATATCCGCCTTATCTGTGTGATTTGCAGCAAATAATCAAAGCAACATGTGCCTGATTGTTTGGCAGCGTCCACTGATGCTGTATTAGTCACTGCAGAGGCAGAGAGGGGACGGGAAGGGGACACAGAAGACGCTCATTGGACGCTTCGACTGACACAATGTCATTATGACTTTGCATTAGKTTGCCACTGTAGCGAAAAGTTTGAGCCGTGATGTGATGAGGTTTGGCAGAGCTGGAGCCAAACAAACATGCTGCGATGAAAGGGAAAAAAAATGAAAATATTTATAAAATATGAGACGAGACATGCAGAGGAACCCAACGATCAGTTTGTATTGATTGTAGTTAATCTGCTCTGACTGAACACTCAGAGATAATTAAAAGAATCAGAACCGCTCACATCTGATGGAGCTTTCTGGATCGTTTCCTCTCAGTCTGTTGTCACATTGAATTAATGCTTAAACTGATTTCAAACCTTCATGACATCCTGCTTGTAATCTGGATCTGTCGCAYGTTTGTGACTCTTCCAGAGAAATAAATTTCCATCATAATGAAATGTTCACCTCAGAACACGTCTTCGGTTATTTTATGTTGGTAGGAAGGGATTTCTAATCCAAAATGAGCGGTTAGATTCAAGAACATTTAAAAGAAGCTCTTGTTATTGTTAAACTATTTTCTCAAAATAAAACAACAACCATAATATTACAAAATGAGGCAAAAGGTGATGTTTTGAACTATAAAAAGTCCATCCTTCTGCCATGTTCTATTGATGTCAAAGTTGGGATTAATGTCCACTCTGCTCCTCTTCCCTCTCCTCAGCCTCTCCTAGGTGGGTTGGCATGGCCCAGTGATGAACGGAGCGGTGGTGCCCGGTAGTCCGGAGCTTTCCTCCTCATGCCCTCTGCCTGACTGGAGAGAGTTCTGCGAGCTCCACGCCCGAGCCTCCGCCGCCGATTTCGCTGACAAGTTCCAGCGCTTTCTGTCCGAGAACCCGTGCTACGACTCGCCCGGCGCCGATGCCAGCTTCTCGCAGCACTTCGCCAACCACTTCCTGGAGTGCTTCACTGYGACGGTGACCCAGGCGAAGGAGAAGCAAGCGTCCTCGCCGGGAGAGGACGGCTGCAACGCGGCGCCCAAGTACAGCATCGTCCCTTTCCTGGGAATCCAGGGGTGCCCTCTGAACTACGGCCACGATCTCTACCAGAGGCGTAAGGACACCGGGGCTTCAAGTGAGTCCCTGGACAGCATGGACAGTGGAGGGGGAGGGATGGACGGGGGAAGCAGTGGCAGCGCCGCCTCCCGAGGCCCACAGACGACCCACAAGATGTCTGTTCTAGGACAGTCCCGCAGCTCGGAGGACGTTTCTGTCAGCCACCCCAAGGCTCGCTTCAAGAAGGGCTTCTCCCTGAGGAACATGAGCCTGTGCGTCGTTGACGGGGTGAAGGAGATGTGGCACAGGCGGGCCTCACCCGAACCCGACGCCCCCTCGGGAAACAGGAAGGCAAACGGAGGAGGGGGTGGTGAGGCAGGAGGGGGAGAGAAGTGGTCCCAAAAGCTGCGACTGCCCAGGGGTTCTCAGGGCCACAAGGCAGAGCTGCTGGAGATCCAGAGGGAGGGGGCGCTGAGGTTCATGGTGGCCGACGACACAAACTGTGTGGGTGCTGCTCAGTGGCAGAAGTGCCGCCTGCTGCTGAGGAAGACAAAGAGGGAGGATGGAGGGGAGAAGTTCCTGTTGGAGTTCTACGTCCCACCCAAGGTACACCAACACACCGAGACACTGTGGACAGGCAGCTGAACAGAACCAGGACATGCTGATGGGTTGTTTTTATTATGAGGTGAACTGTCATGGTGTCTCAAAGGAGACAGAAATCTAGTTTTTTGAATTGTCATCTTTCAACAGCTCTTTAAATGTCAGATTTTAGAATCTGCAAAAAGCTGTTTTTATTTTGATTACTATCATTCAAATTTCATTTTCAAACCAAAACTTTAATTTGTGACGTTTCATTTTCAAGCGGTGAATATCTATTCTTCACATTTTACAAACAGCTTGAAAAAGTGTGTTTTCGACAACGTGCAGAGTCCGTTCTGAGTGCAGAATGATTTACTGAAGTTTGCTGACAAAGCTGAAACCGAGTTGTTAAAGCTAAAAGAAGCTGAACACTAGCTTCAAGCTAAAATAAACAAAATGACGGCAAAGTCAAAAACGGCAAAATGCTAATTAAAAGCTAGAAATTGCCAAAAATTAGCTAACAGATAAATGATGCAAAATGCTAACGAAAAGGTAAGAGGCTAAAAGGTTGCTAGAAGCTAAAACAAGCAAGATGTTAGCTAATGTAAAATTCTAGCTAATGTCAAAAATGAAAAGTCAGCCATTTTTTATTTAGATTTAAGCCAAAAGTTGTAAAATGCTGCTTTAGCTTTTGCCATATATCAATTTAGCTTTATATTGTTAGCGAAACAAAGAAATTTGTGTAGCAGTTTAGGTGTCAGTGAAGCTACTAGTTATCTGTGCCCACCACTGGGTAGTAGAATAATACCTAAAAACAAAATATAGTATGAAATGGCACAAATAGAGCAGATTTTAATGACAGTGTTTTAAGTAACACAAGAGATGTTGGTGTACTTCTACAGGAAAACATTTGTAACTGAGGTTAAAAACTAAATGTCACAGCAACTACCTGATTGTTTTAATGTGTGAATGCCTAAAATCAAACATTAAAATGTACGGAAACTTAAAAAATAAAATAAAAGAAGAACAGTGTGAATTCTGACTCAGCTAATAATCATTAGTTTGGTTCCTTTCTGAAACCCAGATTAAAATATGACCTAAACCGGCTGCTGCTGCATACCTTTCACATTTTTGTCTGTGTGGGATTTCCAGATCGTTGCCCGTGACCTTAAGCAGGCCACAAATCTGTGCAGCTGAGTGTGAGGAAATCTGTCCTTTGATCGTGGTTGTAGGGAAAGTGGCTGCAGAGAGTGGAAGTAGGGTCAGGACAGGTTGGCRTGAGAGGGAGGGAGAAAATATCTAAACACTGTGAGGAATGAGAGGAAGCTGCTTCATTGATTTTTATAAGGCAAGAGGATCTCAAAGTTTCTCTTTCGTGTATATATTGATTGCTTCCTTATCGCTGGCAAACTTGCTGCTGTGAGAAACAGAAAACAGGAACCAAAACAGTTTAGAGAGCCACTCGAACTCTGCCAAGTCAGTGAAAAAAGCACGAGGAACTTAAAGACAAAGTCAAGCTCAATCTTGGTGCACRTTGGAACTGTCCCGTCTCTAACCCTGTTTGAGGTGTTCACTGACAGGAACTCAAGACGTAGCCATGGAAAGGAGGGTGGGGTCAGGGTCTCGTCACTGCTTTRTGCAGATGATGTGGTTCTGTTGGTGTGTTCGGAGAATGAACTTCAGTGTGCACTGGGGTGGTTCACAGTCGAGAGTGAAGCGATGASAGTCCTCCCAAGTCCGAGGCCGTGATTCTCGACCAGAAACGGGAGGAATGCCTCCTCAGGGTCAGGGAGGAGTCTTTGCCTCGTGTTCAAGCATCTGGATGTCTTTTTATCAAGTGATGGAGCAGGAGATGGCTCTTATGCAGAGCTGGAAAGTAACTAAGTACAAATACTTACAGTATTTACTGTACTTAAGTAGAATTTTTGGGTATCTGTACTTTACTTGAGTAATTATTTTTCGGCCTACTTTTTACTTCTACTTCTTACATTTTCACACAGTTATCTGTACTTTCTACTCCCTACATTTAAAAAAAGGTAAGAAGTAGAAAGYCGTTACTTTTCATTCCAGCTGGTTATTATAAAAAAAATAAATACTATCCATTTTAATTGTGCCTCCTAGATAGAGTGAATTTAATTGTAGTTGAATGAGACGTATAAATATATACAATTCTGATACCGTATTAGTTTACACAAACAAATCATGTCACACTCCAGCAGGACATAATCATTAAAATAAAAGGACTGTACTTAAGAAGTATTTGTATTTCATGAATTATATTATTGCATTTGGCTGCAGCCCTCTGATAGAATTTTCCAGAATAGATTTTCATTTTGGGGAAACGTTTTGTGCAGCCTTGATAAATGTATAAAAACTGGAGGAGATAGACTACCAGTGCATCCTAAATTTAACGTAAATTAATTATTTTAATACGATATAGTCATTTCAAAAAAATATCAGATACTTTAAGACTTTTACTCAAGTAGCATYCCTAAATGAGACTTTAACTTTTACCAAAGTAATTTTTTAAGATACTTGTACTTTTACTCAAGGATCACTTTGTGGTACTTTACACAACCTTATGGCCATTTTCCACTAGCGCCTCTACAGCAGTGTRGGTGGTTTTCCATTACACTTCAGTAACAGCTCTAGTGGCTGGGTTCATCGAAAAGTCAGGCGGTCCCAGAGTCTGAAAAYTGACGCCACACGCCTAACCAGCTGGTGGAGGTTCGGCTCCATTAAACTATTTTCCAGCCACCATTAAACATAGTAGAAGAAGAAGATGCACAACACAACAATAGAGGACATGATAGAGTTGTTATTACAAATGGTGGATCATGTTGTTGTGAGATTAGGTTCAAGTGAATCAACCAGTGACTCCACCCCCTAACCAATCAGTGACCAACRCCGTGTTTTCAGACCATAAGTCTTGTTTTGGAACCATAGAGAGCCGAGTTGAACCRTGATGTAGAGGCACTAGTGGAAAAGGAGCATCAGGGATGAGAAACTCTGACATTCCAGGGGGAGCTTGAAGTAGAGCTGCCTCTTTTCATCAAATGGAGTCAGTTGAGGTGGTCTGAGCACGTCCCACTGGGACCCAGAAGTCATTGGAAGGGTTATGATGTAAGTCCTCAATGCCTTGGGCTCCATCAGGAGGAGGTTGTCAGTTGCTGGGGATTGGGACGTGGACCTGGATTTCTCTCTCCCGGACCTGTTGCCTCTGCGACCCGATTGTGAATTAGCGATGGCAGATTGAGATTGAATTTCTGAACGAAATATTTGTAATTCAATGTTTTCATTCATTGCATGTGAAACTTAGAGCCATCTGTAGATTAAACTGAAATCCTCCACCACTACTTCAGAGCAGGGATAAATTAAACCCATTCATCTCTCCAGGTCGGCTCTGATCCCATTCACATCTTACAGATCTGAACAGAGCGCAGGCGGCGTAGTGTCGGAGTGATTAAAAAAACCTGACATCTTCTGCCTGCTGCCGGCTTGGGCTTCAGCCCTACCTGTGTCGTCAGTCTGTTGGCAGACTGCAGCACGTTCACAGCGCTCATTATGACACAACAGCAAGCCCAGACGAACCACTCTCCATTTCACAGCACTCAAAATAACACCTTGTAACTTCAGCGCATCAGTTGTAACACGTCGCAGACAGAGCGCTTCACCTGCTGCTGAACCTCACAAAAAACAACATATCAACTATATATGATGCATATAAAAAGCTCCCACAGAAATATAACTGTAGATGTGCTACTTTGTGACAGCAAAGCACTTAAACACTAAGAGCAATAATTAAAAATAAAAACTTGTGGTAATCATGACATCAGTCTCTGTAAACCCACAGTTTCCTCGTTCCCCTCTTTCTGATAAAAACTCTTTGAGGTGAGCAGGTAAGTGCAAGAACTGCTGTCTACGGACAGAAAAGGGCCGTGTGTACTTCTTGTATTTGTTTACATCTCCCACAGTCTTAACTACAGTCAATTCCCAGTGAGGCTGACTTACAATAAAGAGGCACAGGAAGTGGTCAAATTGTTTAAAACAGGAAGTGGTTTTTGACATCTGATCCAGAAGAAGGAGCCGTGGGTGTGGATAGCAGCCAGCTGCACAGGCAGATCAAGATGAAGACAGTATTACTCCAGACGGATCAGCTGATAAACCTCTGCCAGACGATCACTCGGCCCTTTTCTGTTTCTTCTCTGCGTCTCTAGACACGCACACCAATAAATGAGCACACACACACACTGCCTGAAACACGCTCGCAGGTTCTGTTGAGATTATCGTCTGGATCTGTCTTTTTCTGCTGGGAGCCAGCCAGCGCTCTCCGTTTTAACCTCTTATCAACTCCTCCTGTGTGTTTGTCACTGAGATCATGTGGAAAATAAGAATCTGTGTACAAGCGGAGCCGCAGAATTTCTTCAGATCAGCTTCGCTCTGAGTGCTGGTCCGTTAATTTCAAAGGTTTTACCAACAACCTTAAACTGTGTGTTTGCTTTTTACTCGAGGGCTTGAAAAAGCTGTGTGTATTTCCGTGTTTTAAACCTTTACCACTAATTTAAAGGTACAAAAATATCCACTTTCTGCTTTTAGAAGTTTTTTTTTTCACGTGGTTATTATAGGATTAAAAACAGGATGTAATTAAACCATGGACTGTTGTAATGGCACACTCGGATTTGGGGGATAATGGAGGGGAACAGGACTGTCCTGCCACCCAACGAGGGCCACATTTACAGTTGTCAAAGTGATTTAATGATAGTGACTGAGATGCTGAAGCAGAGGGAGAGGTTTTAGAGTATTGTGATGTCAGAATTGACTGAGATTAGTGGGGAAAGTTATTGTCATTGCAATATTTAGTAATATGCCAAATTACACTTCATTTTAGCCACACATTTTGGTGCTTTTACTTTGTTTTATTGCATTTTGTTTGTCAGTTACAGTTAAAATAGCAGCTATGAAAGCTATTTTTGTGTTTGGACTCTCTTTAAAGGGGACATATTGTGCAAAATCCGCCTTTTTTAGCCATTAAATACATTTTGTTGTGTACCTGGGATCTTTAGAAGTGCAGAAAATTTTAATTCATGTATATACAGTACATATTTTAGATATGTTTGAGTACAGATTTTTCAACCCATTGAGTTTCTCTATTTTTCATTATATTTTCTGAACTATTATGTCAAATTATTTGCGACTAAATTGCCATAAAAGTTATTGTCTTACCAACTACAGTTTGGTGTTCATTCTCCTCTCTCTCTGGGTCAGACTCTGGCTCCAACATGTAAGGCTGGATGGACAAGTCTTTCCTTGTTGACGTTCTGTGCAGCTATATAGTCATGAACCCTTCTATCAAACTAGAACTAGAGCAGTTTAAAATCATGATATGTCTCCTTTAATGTGTTTTTGAATAGAGAGCAGGTAAGTCTGAGCTTTCATGAGTCTCTTTCTTTGTTGGTTTTTAGTCCTCGAAGTCCAAAGTGAGCATCCCTCTTTCAGCCATCGTGGAGGTGAGGACCACCATGCCGCTGGAGATGCCCGACAAGGACAACACTTTTGTTCTTAAGGTATGTTTCTGTACAAGCTACCCTCACAAAAACTGCACCTGCATTTGTTGAATTTCCCAAATAGAAAAATACCAAAAAAAAAAAAAAAGAAAGAAAACTGATCTTAAAAACAGGCTCTGAACGGCGCTCTGTGTGCGACTGCTTCCACAGGTGGAAAACGGGGGCGAGTACATCCTGGAAACCATCGACTCTCTGCAGAAAAACTCTTGGGTTGCTGATATCCAGGACTGCATAGACCCCGGGTAAACCACCAGATAAATATTTGCTGTTTGCCGAAGATGGAGAGGGAAGAAGCGGGGAACGCACGTAGTCATTAATCATCCAATTAGTGGAGTTTTTGACAGGCTGTTTGAGCACAAACACCAGCCTCAGTTTTTAGGATTAGTGGGCGTTTGTCGGCGGAGCTCAGGATGTAAACAGAGCGATTATTTGTGACCGTGTTTGTTTGCATGCGTGTGTATACGCTGTCGTGGTTGTCCTGACCTGCCTGCTTGTGTATAGAGACAGCGGCGATGACATCGAGCTGGCGTCGTGTCCTCACGGCCAGGCCTCTAAGGACTGCTCTATGGTGGCGTCCTGCAGCTGCGAGCTGCTCTCTGAAGGTGAGCAGAGACCGGACGCTCCGCTGCTGCGCCGCATAATATTTACATGCTTTCACCCTGACTCGTCTCCGTTTGTGCAAACATCTTCAGGTGTGTATCGGGTTCCGGAGAGGTCATGTCCTACAGGGGCAGATCATTACAGCGCCCCCTCAGTTCGCTGCAGGGAACTTCCTTTCACCCAGCACCCGTCACACGTGCCTTTAGAGCGCTTCCTTCAGTCCCCCGAGGCCCAGAGCTCCAACCTCTCTGCAGGTAGCAACACAACGTTTAGCATCAACAGGAGCACAACGATCTAATGAAGGAAAAAATAGCCAGGTGTTTGTGTGTGTGTGTCAGGTGGAGAGGGAGCCAAAGAGTCAGACGGTGATGCCAGCTTGACAGGTTACCCGTGGTTCCACGGTACGCTGTCCCGTGTGCGAGCGGCTCAGCTGGTGCTGGCGGGCGGAGCCAGGAGTCACGGGCTCTTTGTGATTCGTCAGAGTGAGACGAGACCCGGAGAGTATGTTCTCACCTTCAACTTCCAGGGCAAAGCCAAGGTGAGGATGGGAGAGAAACCACAAAAGGTTGACTTTACCTTTTTATTTCTTCATATC